AAAAAAAAAAAAAAAAACTAATAGAAACACAATACAAGAAAAATGAACTAATGGAAATACAATACAATTTAAAAATAAAACCACGAAATAAAGTGTTACTAAAAAAGATAGAGCTTTGCTATGGAGCTATCACTTTTATGGGTTATAATATATTACAAATTGCAATTATCATAAATAGTGTATTGATTTTAAATAAATATCAACACGTTAATTTATGAATTATCACTATTGCATATTGTTTAGGGAAATGCTAAGGTTTGTAATAATTTCGTCGAGATTTGTAACTGTTAGATCATCGTGTAACAGTCATAGATCTAATAGTTACAAACGCCGACAGCATAATTCCGTAACGAGACTGTAGCATCTTCTGTCAAGTTTATGAGAGAGATATATTAGCTAGCACTGTCAAACGGGCCGGTGGCCCGCGGGCTGGCCCGCCCGCCCGCTTAAACGGACAGGCTTGGGCCTTTGCTTGGCCAGCCCGTTCAATCGCGGGTCTATTTGGCCCGCCCCATTTGGCCCGCGGGCTGGGGCGGACTGGCCTGTTTTTTTTTTATATATTATTTAAATTTAGTATTTTTTATTTTACTTCTAATTTCTAACTTGTACATGAAACATTTTTTTTACATAATAAAAATATTAATAAATTAAATAATATTTTATGTCAATTAAGTCGTTCCTGCGCGTGAATACCCTATAACTATTGATAAAAAAAATAAAAATAAAAACTAGATGACAAATATTTAACATCATTACACATGAAACCTTACTAGTTTATTAATATACTAGTAAATATAAGGATAAACAAACCAAAAAATATATAAGAGTGCAAATACCATAAAAAAAATAAACAAAACCCGCGGGCAAGCCAATTTGACCCGCGGGCTAATGCGGGCGGGCCACGGGCTATGTATTTTCCAACCCGTAGAAATGTGGGTCATTTTAGCCCGTCATGTTTGGACTGCGGGCCAGCGCGGGTCGGAGCGGGCCAGGCCGGACCGGCCCGTTTGACAGTGCTAAATTATTAGCTTAGTCATAGTCCCGAGTGGGCCAAGTCCCAGGTGTTGGGTACTTGTATGGTTTTACAAACTCCATGGGCACCCAAAACCCTCAATTCCCCTCCGTTTGCTGCAGATAAAATACACCCATCTCAGTCAAGAACCCGTATGAATTTTCTTTGGCAAACAAGTGTTGGTAAGCCGCAATCTTGAAGAAAAATAAATAAAAGCTGCAATCTTGATTTTTGTTTTACTGAGCTTTTAGTTTTTGACTGATTCCTTTTCAAGAAAAAAAAAGGTTTCGATCTTGAAATCATCGAAAACCAACCCAAAAGTTTTGATCTTTTGATGATCCGTGAAGGCGGGCAGATGATTGGGAGATCTCATAATTCAGAAGGAAAATAGTGCTTTTCAGGTGTTCGATCAAATGTCTGTTTGAGCCTCTGTGAAAAAAAGAAAAAAGAAGAGTATTAGAGGTTTGCTGGTGTGGGACTCATGGCAGTGCCTTGGAGCATGACCCTCTGTCTTGCAAGGATGGTGTGGATGGCTCTTGGCAGCTGGGTTGTTTCTTGTTTGAACATTGCTGATGAAATAGCGGGCTCGTTGAGGACGGGAGGTATTAGCCCTTTCCTTATCGATTAGCTCAAGAACAAGACTTTTTGGCCTCTGGATTTGAATCGGTGTGTGCTCTGTTTTGTTCTTTGCGTTCGAATCTCTCTTTTTTCTTGAACCTTTTGTATTTTTGCCTATGGTGTGGATGACCTTTGCAGCTCGGTGGTTTCCTGTTTGAACATTGTCGATGAAATCTTGGGCTCGTTGAGAACGGGCAGTGTTAGCCTTTTCATCATCGACTAGCTCAAGAACAAGACTTTTTGGCCTCTGGATTTGAATTCGGTGTTTGCTCTGTTTTGTTCTTTGTGGTTGATTGAATCTCTCTTTTTCTTGCATATTTTGCATTGTTGCCCATGGGTAGGCTGAAAAAAATTGCAAGGAGAGTTCGCCTTGTAGGTTGATTGTAAAGTGTAGTGCATGATCGAGGCACTTTTTCTTGCACCTTTGGAATTTTTGCTTTTACCTTATGGAAAGGGTGGAAAATGCCTAGAGTTTGTGTTGTAGGTTGATGATGAGTGTAGTGTAAGACTGGTGTTCAGACATATTGTAACTTTTCTTACTGAATGACTTATATACATATATACACGATTTCATATGTAGCTGCTTTCGTATGTACATGTTGAGTTTTTCTTGATGGGATTCTGCTCTGCAGAATTTTGCTTTCTGGAATTGGTTGTGTATGTCTTTGTTTTTTTCAATAGATTGAGTTGATCGAATTGTATATGTTTGTTCTAAAGTGTATGTAATATGACGTACGGATGAGAAATCGCAAGATGGAAATTGTGTTGTAGGATGGAAAACGGGGTTTAGTTTCTTATACGTTTAACATACATTATGAGAATTTAGTCGGTAAAAAGCAGTATGTCGTTTACTTGTTCAGACATCATTGAGGATTAACAATTGTTGTGAAAGAATGTTAACTTGTGTTTTACGACTGATTAATCTGCATGAAATTCGGGTTGGTGAGTGTTGATGATGCAACAAAAACTTATGGTTTGATGGCCCTAACCTGGACCTCTTGCTAAAGCAGTTCGAAGTAAAGGGCATTCTAGACATTTCGGTGATATATTCTAAGGCTCGAAATATTTTCGTGTACAACTGTCGGTTATTCTCTGTAACTTCAAACAATCACATTCCTGAAGTTCAGTGCAAGTTTCAAAGCATCAGAATTGTTTTTCAAATTTTTGAATATATCACTTAACATTTGTTAGGTATACACAATACACAAAGTTACAAACCTGAAAACTGTTATCAACAATGTAAGCTATCATCCAAGTCTCCAGATGAATAAAATGCACTCAAGCAAGAGCAAAATATGGTTCTCATTGAATACCATTTCAATCTTCTACACTTAAAAATTAAAAACACAAAAAAAACATTAGACAATTATCCAAATGGTCTTACAGTAAACTACACCAAAGCTCCACTCCACACCCCCAAACACACCTCTGCTCTTCTTTGATCATGGAGCTAAAAACCTACATTACAAAAAAAAAAAAAAAAAAAATGGATTTGATAGCCTACTATTCGAAATATGCCGATAAATCCATACCCAACAAAAATTACACTATACAACACCAACAGTCTTCGCCTGAGGCTCGCAAGCATTTTCTGGAGACTCACGCGAAAGCCCATCCTCATCAACCTCCTCGACT